AAAATTGGCCTGACAGTCAAAATTAAAACTTAAAACATGGGATAAAAGCAAAAGCTAGTGAAGTTGGCACATCCAAAATGTTATATTTAATTCTTGTCTCCCATCCCCCACAGCTTTACCTTTCTTCACACCTTTGGTAAATGGCAGCAGTGCATTTCTTATTTCTTGAAAAAGAAATCGGAAAGGTCTCTGAGTATTTCAAAACCTATATGTCAAATAATTGGCAAGTTTAATAGTTTCTTCCTCCTAATCTCTACCTGTGTTCTTCTTCTCTGCTATAAGGACCCTGTGCTCATATCAGGCCCACCTGGGTGGCTTAAAATGTTCCATTCTCAGGATCCTTAACTTAACCATATCTGCAGAGGCCCTTTTGCTGTGTGAGGTAATGTATTTACAGGTTCTGGGTATTACAGTATGGAGATCTTTGTGGGCCTTTATTTAGCTGAACACAGATAGGGAGTAGAAGGCAACTTCTCAAATACTCAGTAAGTAATGCTAGAGATTGGAGATGGTGATTGATGAGGTATCCAGGAGAAAATAGGCACAAGAGATTAACTTCAGCAGTAGGTATGAATGGATTAGCATGTTAGGATGGGAGACTGAAAGAAATTAGCTGCATCTTGAGCTGAAAATGATTGAGAGGTTTTAATTTCTAAAATGTGGATATAGGGCTGGAGACATAGCTCAGTGTTAGAGTGTGTGGTTAGCACACATGAGTCCCTAGATTCAATCCCTAGAGATGATAGTTAGTTAGATAGATAGATAGATAGACAGATGGACAGACAGATAAAAATTTTATTATGGTAGCCAGGGAAGTTAGTGGTAGTTGAAGTAATACAAATTAATACATTTGATTACTGCTTTGAAAACTGTCTTTCTTCAATTCAACTGACTGTAATAAATATAACAAGAAAAATTGATCCTCTGTTGTTTTAATTGAATTTTCCAGGCAGATAATATATTATCTTCTGAAAAATATCAGTGTAATATCAGCGTTAAGGTCAAAAATACATAACTGAAAAGTAATTAAGAAGAACTGAAAATTTTTATATTGGTGAAATGGTTACCAACAAAGTCATTTATGTAAACTGTTCACCCTTAATTCACCTGTGGCACAATAGCATAAAGTTGATTCAGATTGATTTTGAAGTAAATTTTATTTTATAAGGGCTATTAAGTCTACCCAAATTGGCTTAGTCACCAAGGTTGCTATCTTGTAGCAATCCATCCACTTACAATTTAAAGGAAGAGGGAGCCTTTCCTTCCTTCATTTCTTTCTCTCTCTCTTTCTTTCTTTCTTTCTTTCCTTCTTTTGTTCTTTCTTTCTTTCTTTCTTTCTTTCTTTCTTTCTTTCTTTCTTTCTTTTCTTTCTTTCTTTCTTCTTTCTTTTCATTAATGAAATGAAATTAACTCCGCTTTTCCAACCTTCCTCCCAACCCTTTCCAATTTATGGCAATCACTTTTCTAGTTTTAGGTTGACTTGTTTTAGGTGCCCCTTGGTTTTATTACTTGTGAAAGAAAGTCCAGTTTTCTAAGTTAATCTTAAAACAAACCTTTGCTCACATCTTTCCAACCCACAGAGTTCCACGCATAGGAACACAACACAGTATTTCTATTCGTGCAAGTGTTGAATAATATCAACAGCTTCACTTGCTGCAGGGTCTGTGTGAGGTAATGTATTCACAGGTTCTGGATATTATAGTATTGAGATCTTTGTGGGACTTTATTTAGCTGAACACAGATAGAGAGTAGAAGGCAACTTCCCAAAGACTCAGTAAGTAACACTCGAGATTGGAGATGATGACTGATGAAGTATCCAGGAGAAAATAGGACAAATGAGGCACAAGAGGTGAATTTCAGCAGTAGGTATGACCGGATGAGCATGTTAGGATGGGTGATTATTTTACAAATGCAGATTTAACCTCAAAGTATATTTGTGAAAATGTTATTCCTTTAGCTACAATCCCATCTACTTCCTACTTAAGGCTCAGCACTACCAGAGTGGTTTGCCCATACTCAGGCCCTTCCTGCCTCCAAATGAACTTGAGATTGTTTTCCTTTTGCTTTCAGTATGGTCTAAAAGTGGTGCCATAGTCATGAAGGGTCAGGATCTAGGCCCACAGACGTGGAGTCACCTGTCTCCCTCACTTCCTTGTGTTCCCACACATGGACGATATTAACTATATCTCCACAAGTCCTTTGGCTTTTCTCCCTCCCTCCCTCCCTCTCTCTCTCCTTCCCTTTTTTCCTTCCTTGTCATTGCCTCTTACTTGTTGACATGGAATCATATCCTAGCAGGTGGCATGTCCCAAGCCTTTGTTTTTTCAGATCCAACTCAAATCCTACGTGAAAATGATACTCCCAAAGTACCAGTCAGTTCACTCGTGGGGTTCTGCAATGTTGAGCAGCTCCCCACAGCTTTGCAAGAAAGGTGACGGCAGATCCAGCATGCAATGGCCTCAAATCCCCTTTCTACACATATATTGGGAGTTCTCTTTCTGTTGTTGATTTTTCGGCAAAACAAGACCGTCATCTCCAAATTTATACTATCTTTCTCCACTTTCAGGATTCAACATTTGCTGGTCTTTTAAGTGGAAAGGTCAAGTTTTCATCCCAAACGCATGCAACCACTTGTGAAAAATCTAATCTATTATTCCAAATACACCTCAGATGATAGATATAGTAACTCTCCCCTCTCCTATTCATGGTGATAAGTTCCAAGACCCTCAGGAGATGCCTGAAACCATAGATTTCTATACACACATACTTACTGTAGATAAAGTTTATTCCTAGGCATAGTAGGAGATTAACACTACCTAATAATCAAATCAACAGTGTACTGTAATAAGTTATGTGAATATAGTTTTTCTAACTCAAAATATCTTACTGAGCAACTTTGTTGAAGATAACAGTATGTAATGTAGCAACCATTGTTAATTCCTACCATGTGTCATTTTCCTGTTGTTTTGATTGTGTCTTCATTGTTGTTGTTTTGTTAGTTTTTTTAATCTTTAAAATAAAAACAATCTTACTGTACTCTACTAATACGTGGCAACAGTGTGTCATACAATACCTATGTGGTAAGGTGAAGCAAGATGAGTGATGTTGATATTGGGACACAATATCAGTTTAGGTTAGTAAGGTTTACTTGAGCACAAGCACTGCAATACTGGGACAGTCAGTCTGATAACAGAGAGCTACTGAGAGACTAATGGAAGGGTAGTAGATACAATGTGGATACACTGGACAAAAGGATGATTTACATTGGAGGTAGAATGGAATGAAATGGCATGAAATTCATCTCACTACTGGGAACAATGCATAGTTTATAACTTATGAATTGCTTACTCCTAAAAATTTCCATTTAATATTTTTAAACTGCAGTTGACTGCAGGTAGCTGTAACTGAGAATAGTGAGACTGTTGATAAAAGGGAGTACAGGGATTCCTTAATGAAGTCTTTCATGAAACTAATACTTTCCCATTGCCATAGCATTTATTTTGTATCTTTCTTATGACACTTTTCACATTCAAACCATGATTATAATTATGTTTATTTTTGTCTCTCCACCAGATGTAAGATCCTGAATATCACAGACAGAATCATATCAATCCTTCATTATTCTCAGTAGGTACTCAATAAATATTTGTTAAATGTTAGAATGAGTAAACAAGTTAATTGATTTTGCTCATTTATTTCTGTGGGAAATTAATGATACTGTGAAGAAACCATTTGAGCCCACTCAAGAATAAGCTCCATCTAGAGTTGCAATAATAGAATTTTTAGTCAAACAAGACTGCTTTATTACTCACTGGATTATGAAAACTCTCATCTGTGGAAAACATGCCAGCATCTTAGGAGAGGGATACCATCTCTCTACCTAAAACTTGGTCTAATCTTAGTACTAGAAAGCTGAAACCTCCTAACTGGAGAAAAAGATAAGTTTCAATATTTAAAAGATGATAAGTTGTGACAGCGCCAAGAGTATCAAATTAGCCCAGGCATTAGCCACCCTTCGGTGCCAGCTGGGGGGCATGTGGAGAGGGAGGTACATGTGGTGGGGGTGGGGGCCGGCTTTCAGTCACGGTACTGACAGGGACAGCTGCTGTGTGGCTCTGAGGCAGCCCTCTGCTCTGCCTCAGTGGTCAGGAGAAGGATGAGAAAAGCTCCAGCTGAGAAAGCCAAGAAGAGACCGGGAGGTGGTGGCCAGATGGAAAGGGGGTTTAGCAGAACTCAGCTTTGGTGGGAGATGGGGCTGAGCCAGCTGAAGCACGGTGATTCCCTAGGTCATCATCAATCTACAAAAGGCGAAGAATCTCAGAATTAAGTTACAACATCTGCTTGAAAGACTACAGTCTGTCATTTATGAGCAAAGTCACTTCTATGTTCCTGAAATAAGTGATTTCCTGGGGATAAAACTTAGATGTGTCACATTTCAGAGCATTATGAAAAAGTTATAGACACATAAATCTAGAAGTGGATAGTTTCATCTCCACCATAATGGACGATGAAAGGTAAGATTAAATGATTCTGAAACTTTGCCTGACCTGATAAACCTCCATGACTTAAGAAAGTGAACCCAGCTTGGCTGGACACAGCCTCTCTAATATTATTATAGTGAAAGGAATTTCTCACATTCCAGGCCGGGAAGCAAAAGAAGGTCTCTGTGCCACCGTTTTCTATACTCATCCGTACACAGGGTTTTTGTTTCAAAATTAGCATTTGGAAGAGTCGGTAAATCACTTTATACTTTTGGCCTATGTTTTATTCCAGATAAATTTATAAAGGGTTGACCTGCTTTTATATTTTAAAATCTTCTCCTCTTCACCTTCACTATAGCTTTTTCTTATGGGGTTTTTAAACAGGGAAATCGCAGGATATTTGGAAAGAAAACATCCTAACGGTACATCCTGGACTTGCTTTCCTGGCCAGTGCCCTGCTGACAAGATTCAGCTGGTAGAATAAGCGAGCCCTAGGAGCCTTCAAGTATGCGGCCTTACAGAAAACAGGTGCAGGCATCTTGTTCATAGGCTCAGGTGGAAGTCGGGAATCCCAGGTGGACGGAAGGTTCATATTTTAGCCTCAGAACCCAGTAGATCCTTCTTAATCTTTGGGAAAAATTTGCTTCTGTCTGTCTCCCTTTTTGTGCTCTGCTTCTTGCAGGTCCACTTCGCAGCCCTGGAGCAGAACTGCAATGTGAACAGAACTATTGTCAGTCTGCAGAGCTGAGGAGGAAAGGAGCTCCCAAGCCCTTTCTCACTCAGAGCACCAAGAGGTCATCTTTCCCCCTTTGCTTCCAAGGAAGCCTTTTAATGCTTTGCTCACAAAATAAAAGGTGCCTGAGGTGACCTCTGTGTTGGGAAATGCAGATCAAAATGATGGAAAACAGGGAATGGAGAGCAAAATTCAAAATTCAAAACACTGACTGTGTAACTTGTGAGAACATAAAGCACTATGCTCGCTAGTTTACAGTACTTATTTAAATTTAAATGGACAGAGATTTGGACCCCCCAAATCTCATTTTTAGGATGCCACACTATTGAAATTTTAAAAAGAATAATTGGAAATATGTATACAAGATGCCAGCTGAACTAGTGTTTGTAAGAGCAGGCATTTAAAAATAATCTAGAGGGGGGAAGTGGATGAAATAATGATACTAGGCAACTGTGTTTATGATATTTTAAGCAGAGAAAGCAAATTTCAGAGAAATAGTATAATATGATCCTGATTTTGTATATAAAACTTTTTGCACATACAGACTTATGCATTCGGTGAAATAGGAGCAGAAAGATAAACACAATTTAGTAACATTTGTTGCCTTGAAGGGAGATGATTGGAAGGGAGAGACTAGTGATTTTTACTTGGTTTACATTTCTATTGTTTGAACATATTACAATGAACATATATTACTTTTAAATGGTCGTATAAAATTTTTTGGGAAAAATTTGCTTTTTAAAACCTTATATTTAAATCACAAGAGGAAAAATGCATTTGTGCAGTTTCTGAGTCTACTGGCACATTGTCAATAGAGCAGCTGTGCACCTTTCTGAATACTGTTTTATTGCCTTGTCAATTGGAAATCTCTAAGCAGATGAGCACATGGGTATTTATTTTATGCTGCGCTATCTCCAGCACAATTACAGTCCTATGAGGGAAGAAAAATGTGCTTGTTTAGAAAAACCAGGAGGGGTGGAATCTCACTTTAACTTTATGGCATAAGAGGAGAAAGCATTCAAATTCAATGACTGGAAAAAGAAAAATCTAGGGGTAAGCTCTAAAGCACATGAAAATCATTACCTTGTGCTTCTATATCGATGGCTCTCAAGTATCAGCACACATCAGAATCACCTGCAAGGCTCTTGGAAATACAGCTTGTCAAACTTCTTAGAATTTCTAGTTCAATAAGCCTAGGAAGAAAGCTGAGATTTTGCATTTGTAGCAAATTTTCTCAGTGATGTTGATGCTGCTAGTCTGAGAATCACACCTAGAGAATCACTGTGGTGGATTTATATCCTTTGTCAGAAGTGACCGAGATTTCAAATGAATTACACAACTTTCTAGCTAGTTACTCTTAGAAGAAAATAAGTAAGACTGGAAAATATTAAAAGAAAACAGAATACTTATGAATTACATTGGAATAAAAAAGTTATTATCTGTCTCTAGTTGTGGCACTTACTTTCTTTAAGTATGTGGAAATTTTATTTTTTAATAAAGCAAAATAATACCCTGGTGATGACTATGTTTCATTGTGACTGAGGGCCTAGCACGTACAAGGCCCTGAGTTCAATCCTCAGTACCACCAAAACAACACACACAGCAGCACTGTGACTGAGGCAGTTGGCTTGCACAATATATGCTTTAGAATTTCTCTTTATTTTTTCAAGTTTGACCCTTCATGTTTCTTAGAATTAAACCTTTTAGGAGAAAAGAAAATTGTTTAAAAAAAGAAAGAAAACTCCAGGGAACTGTAATTTTGTACTGTCCTTGTGGTGTAATGCCCTCTTCCCCAGATGATCCGAGAGCTATGCATTGAATGCAAGAGGCTCCAGGTTTGCTGCCATCCTGTCCCCAGAGATCTCCCCTTCCAGGGCTAGATCAGACTTTTCACTTGGACCAGTCCCACACTTCTGCACAGAGTTTCAGGGGAAGGATTTGGGGTCATATGTTTTTTCCAAGGAGGATCAGGAAAAGCTTTTCTTGCAGTTTGGGTTTGATGGCTGTAGCTCAGTGGCAGACCAAGGCACACAGGAAGATTTCCAAGCAAGCAGCCACTTCTTTCCTCCTCTCACAGCCTTGAACCCTGATCTCTGGGCTCTTCCCTCAGAAGTTCTCCCTTGTTCTAGTTAAATTGTACATTGCAATTGCACGGCCATCCCAGATGTTACTTTTAAATCACATGTTTACTTTGTGAAAGCTCTTACTTTAGGGAAACCAGAGGTCAAGATTGCAGTTGGTTGACAGATCTGTGAAATAGCTCTGCCCTCCTACCTCATTTTTTATATCAAATTTCATATTGCTTGCTATCTTCTCTTTTCCAAGTTTAACTTTTCCTAATGCTGTCTCTTGGCCACCCCAGTTTGGGGACCACCCTGAGTTCCCTAGGACATCTTCCTTCAGTCTCATAGCCAAAATTGCCTAATTTTGGCTAGTTAACCATCTTTTTTTATTTTAAAGAGAATAAATTTAAAAAACAAAAACAAAAACAAAAGAACAATAGCAAAATGCCGACAATGTAGACAAAAACAAAACAAAGCAAAAGCAGTAAGAATGATACAGGGTTTCAGAACCATCTTAAAAGAGATTTACACCAGAACATTAATGGCAGAAAAGGCTGAACTAAAAGGTTAACCTTTTCCAACCCCATCTATATTTTACATGGTGATTTAGAACGCAGAGGACCTTAGTAAAAGGATATATTCCCACCAATGGAATATCATGAGCTGCCACTGAGGTAGACATTTTTTGCTAGAGCAGTTTTTCTGGGTCCCTTACACCAAAATATGTACTCTAGTTTGAGATTCTGAGAAAGTTGAACAGCTTAGGGACAGGCTCATGTTTGGTAGACCCTATTATTTTTTATTAGGGAACAGAAGAATGTTGTCTTTTAAACATATAATCTCAATCTCGACCTGAAGGGGAAATGAATGCGAACCAAGGCACTGTGACTGATTGATTGTTGTGTTCTTTATTCATTGCCTACCTCTGTTACACACCGTAGTCTACTTCTTATTGATTGGATGTTACATTTATTTAGGGTTAAAAAACTGTTACAGTTTGAGACCTGTATGTGAAAAGCAGGATTGAAGTTAAACAAATAGAGTTGTATGGGTAAGTTGGGAACCCTAGACTTTGGCTGTGCTGGGGTTAAGGTGCCTAGCAAGTACTGCTTTTATAAAGAGAAATAACTCATATACATGGCAACAACTAGCACAATAATAAAAGGTAATAATTGGACAATATCAACAAAACCCCAACCCTTTCGGACTCAGGCCAGAATTACCAGGGAAGGGAATTGGGTCAGCTGCCTGTGAAGCTGGACCACTTCATGACAGCCTAGGTAAGAGTATAGAATTGGCAGAACTCTTCTAGAGAACCAGTGACTTTGTGTGCACAATCTATAATCTCTAAGCTCTTCAGCATTTGTGCTTCTTGTGTTCCCCTGTTTATTTATATGGGTTTCCCTTCTCTTTAAAAAGCTGAGTCTGTTTTATCTCAGTCAAAGGAAGCAGCGGAGGCAAGCCTTCTGGGCCCAGGAATCATAGTGACAGTGGTTAGCCTTGGAAAAGTAAAATCAGACAAAACCAAATCCAAGCCCTTTAGGCTTAGCACTTTGTTTAAGAGCACTGTAACTGGGAAGTTTTCAAAAATAGCCTTAATTTTTTGGCTACGTTCTTTTTTATTATTTAAAAGAAGGGATATGCAATCCTTATGGTCACCTTAGATGATTCAGCTGTGGTCAGAAAGAAAGACATTCTACCTCATTTCTATAAAAATACAACCCCCCCAATACAACCCAATAGCAATTTGTATATCTAGCTTGACTTGCTCATAAAAGCAAAGGTTTTTTAAATTTGTACAAAATAGTTACAAAGCAAGTTTAACTGTCTGAATATGACAAGTATGGCCAAAATTTATGAAAATTCACACTATGTGTATATACAGACACTACTTTTCATTTATGTCTTGAGCTTTTTTCCTTTTCTCAATCATTATTTTTATTGAACTTGATCAGAAATAATTTTAATCAGTGTTCAAGATGCATCACTTCAAATTTGTTTTATCAGATCAAGACATGAAAATGGATAAAAGTATGATTGACATAAATAGAAGCCTTTGTTATTTTAAAAATGGGTGGTATAAGTGTTAAATTGTGTGTTTATACTACTCTAGGTACTTCCAGGAGTTTTAACTTGACATCACAATTCTGCTATCACACTTGAGTGTCTGTATTTAGCCCACGTAGGAATAGGATCCCTGCATACTGCAGGCTGCCTTATCAGATGTAGATACGAGTAGAAATCAGCTATGCCAGCGCAGCACCCTAAATCTGAATACTGTGAATCTCGCCTTACTCTTTGCAGACCACAATCTTGCAGCAATCGCTCGGTGAGGTCCACCCAATACAAAGATTTGTCTGAAGCAGTATCCAGGAGAGGCATGATTTACAGCTTTATGGGAAAAATAAAATCATTTACTGAGCATAAGTGAAGCTACTTTAGGGAATGAGAACAATAAACACTTTACTATATTGATAAGGACTTCATTGCGTTCAGTGAATTACAGAACAAAAAGATTCTGATATGTACTTTCAGTTCCCCTTCCCTGGGGAATGTCTGAACTCCTGTATTTATTTGAATACAACAACATATCCTGTGTTCTGCAGATTATTTCCAGCTTCACCATCAGTCACAAACCACTAACTTTGGGTCAGGCCCTAAACTAAGCTGGGTGTTGTGGATAAAAATATCAGTGGGGGGCTTACAACGTAGCACAAGAGAAAGATGTGAACTCAGGAAGGAAAGGTATTATTATTTTCTAAATAGGCACTCTGCTCACGGTTGCCCATACATTATTTCACAAAATCTGCAAAGCAGTCCTAGAGACATGTTTACTGTTGTGATCATTTTGCAAGTGAGGAAACAAAATCCAAGGGAGGTAAGTAAATTGACCATTTACCATAGTGGAGCTGAAGTTCAGACCTGAGTCTAGGGGATATACAGGTTTTTTTGGAGGGTGTCGTCTTAAAAAATACACTTTACAATACACTTCACAATAATCAGATAGCTATAACAGCCACACAAAACACCCCCCCAAAAACAAACACTGTTAATCATGTGGAGAAGTTTTGTGCAGTGCAGGTGAGAATGTAAAAGGGTGCAGTCATTGTGAGAAATTCCACTTTCTTAGTTTCTCAAAAGTTAGGCACAAAATTACCATCTGATCCAGCAAGTCTCCTTTTAGGTATATATCTAAAAAAAGTGAAAGCAGAATGTGAACAGACACTAAACAAGCATTTGTGTTCATAGCAGGATTGTTCACACGAGTCAAAAGGTAGGAACAAAACAAGTGTCTACTGAAAGATAAAAGGATTTTTAAAATGTGGTAAATACACACAACAGAACATTGTTCAGCCTTCAGAAGAAATAACAGAAGCTGAAGCAGGGATGAAACTCGACACTGCGTAAAGTGAAATAAACCAGACACAAAAAGGAAAATGCAGTGTAATTCCACTTGTACAAGGTACTCTATCTAGAAAAGTTAACTTCATAGAGAAAATAGAGTGACATTTGCCAAGGCAGAGGAATGAAAGACTTGGCAGCTATTGTCTAATGGGTACAGAGTTTTAGTTTTATAAGAGGAAAAAGATCAAGATGAATAATGGTGATTGTTGCGCAACAACGTGAAAATGCTCAGTGCCACAGAACTGTATGCCGTCAAAGCGGCAAGTCTGATTTTACCATAAAAATACACAATTAATACTAAAAATTAGTGACTAAAGAAACTAGGACAAGAAAGGAAATCATTATAGGCAAAACCTTCAAAAAGTTAAACTCCATACAAAAATAAAAAGCAGAAAAATAATACATTTTATATTAACTAAATTTCACACATAATTTTATAGGACATTTTATCTATATTTCAGTTTCATAATCTTTATCTCCTTAGATGTCAAAGATTTTGTACTGCTTATCATGCAGAGAATAAAACATACTTCAGTCACCTACCATGGTTAAAATTTATTTTTTCTTTGTTATTGATATTAGATGCAAAACACCTCACACATTTAAGCTACAGCTAAGAGTTCATGCATTAAAACACAATCTTCTTTAATTTTGTACTGTTTCCATTGAAAGATGTGAATAGGCTTAACTAGTTGTGAGTAAATCTCTTTTGCAAATTTTTTTAAGAACATACAGCAATACAAACACATTTCTAGAGCCTTTGAAGGTCTTGGACGTGGACTGAACAAGTGGACAGTCCTAGAATTTAAGTATTGTTTTTTTCACGATAACACCGGCTCTAAGTCTATTTGCCTCATACATTTTTGTTTCTTACCAATGCACTCTTCCACCTTACATACTTATAAAACATGAAGGTGATAGTAATGAGAGAAACCTGGCTAGATCATGAGGACACACCAAGCAAGGACGCATAAAACGGTCGGTGCCAAGGACAGCTCTGCGGTGAAGATCTCACCTGTCTCGTACCAACCTCTACTGGACAAGCACTGTTTTATTGCAAGACTTTTATGGCTACTTCCATAAAATTAATAGTGTCCTCTCTGCCCCACCAACAATACATCTATTTGCATTTGCACCCCTGCCCTACTATTTTATGACCAGTAATGTCATGAAAGATTTTAGAAGATTTGTTTTGCCTTTTTTAAAAAGGAGTAATGTTTCAAACAAATGGAAAGTTGGAACAAGTGTTGCATGACTCTGGGAAGGTAAAGCAGGAAGATTACAGTTTGAGCACAGCCTGAGCAACTTACTCAGTGAAATCCTGCCTCAAAATAAAAATAAATTTAAAAAAGAACTGGGGATGTGGTTCAGTGCAAAGACCCTGGATTCAATGGCCAGTACCACACACATATGCACACACATGTGTGCACAAACAAACATAAATGTTGGCGTGACAGAAGCAAACCATAAAATAGACAAAAGCATCCAAGGCAGGCCCTACACGCTCTAAATAAGCTTACATATTTTTGACAGGGATTAAACCTAGAGTACTGGGACAATGTTCATGTAAGCTGCATTACCCAATGGCAGTAGCTCTGAGATGGGATGGAGATGCAAGCACAACCACTGTGTCTTGGCACATGCTAGCCAAATTTCAAAAATAGATTGATGATATGAATGAACTATAGATCATGACTGAATGCTGGCTTAGTTGATGTCTTTTAACAAGTATCCAGTAAATAGTAAATAGTGTTAAGGGAATAGTCAGTAAGGTGACAACCACATTATTGATATTAAGCTAGATATGAAATGTATAAAAAGAATGTAAATTCCAATAATAAAAAGATTAAAGTTCATCAAGTGATAAGATGAGCAAAGAATATTATCAAATTAGATGAGTAAAAGAAGCAATTTTAAAATATTAGATAAAAGTCCACATGATGTATCAGGCTACACAGAATGGTATGAACTTGCAAAGCTCTACTACCTGGAGGAAGTGACCAGCGTGCTGGCCTTTGGCTCTGACAGATCACCTTGGCCTATGGAGTACTTCAGAAGTTCCCTGCTCCTTCCTCAAATTTTTGAATTGACACTTATCCTGGGCCCTAATTCTTGATACAGCAATCTCAGCCCAGGAAGTCATACATTTTTCTCCTTATTTGTGTAAGTTACCTTGCAATTCTATGAGAAGAGAAATAACTATAGGATTGTTAAACTTAATCGAACCCATAGTGGAAACACATTTAAAGTTTAGGAATTTATTTTATAACCTGGAATAATCTATAATTGTGTTTTAAGGTAATTGAAATATGTAATAGGATCTACTGTGTTAGGAGATTAGCTATATGAACCACATGATGTTAAGTTTATGAGTGAGAGAATTTTCCTAAATCTCTACACAGTGTGTTGTATTGTGTTTTGTTTTGCTTTGAGACAGGGTCTTGCTATGTTGATCTGGCTGGTCTCAAACTGCAGAATTCAAGTGATCCACCCACCTTAGTGTACAAAGTTGCTAGGACCAGGCACAAGCCACCCAGCTAAATTCTCTACAATGTGTCAGAATGTTTTTAAGAGTGTAATTTACTCTTGTACATATTTATCTATTCCTTTTTCCCAAAGTTTCCTCCATTTTAAAAAATTTATCAAGTATGTAAAAGACTAACATGTCAAGCACTTAAAATGTTTGAGAAATTCAGATAGGCTATGTTTGTAACTGAAATTGTTTTATATGTAAAGGAATGTAGTCCCGGCCTGGTGGCACAGGCCTGTAATCCAGGACTCGGGAGGCTGAGGCAGGAGGATCGTTACAAGTTCAAGGCCAGTTTGGGCTACAAAGTAAGCTCAAGGCCAGCCTGATCTGCATAGCAAGACCTTGTCTCAAACAAACAAACAACAAAAAAAAGGAATGTAAGTCTATCGATTACATTTTTTGGGAGAATTAACATTAACTTGAACAGTAATCAAAGAATAGGTATAAACAGTAATTCATACTTTCCCACCAAAGTCTCAAAATTTACGAAGATTTATTTGTTAAACATAAAAGCTTTAGAAAAACTAGTTCTTGTACTTTGCAACAATGAGACACTGGTAGAGCTAATTTATAAGCTGCAAAGATTTTTGTGGTGGCTACAAACAATACATAAGCCCTCGACTAGATGAAAGCAGAACTCTATTACTTACAGGTCCAAACTTCCGGCCAGTGTCACACCTGAGGACAGGGTACCAGCAGCTGGAGTGCAGCTGTGGGGGACAGCTTCTATATAGCAAGCAGGGTGGGGTTACCCAGGTTCCCAGGTTTCTCTGGCTGATTTGATTAATTTTGGCGGCTCCAGAGGAAAGGGTCTGTCCCTAATTTTCTGTTGCCTGGCCCTAAAGTGATTAGTACAGGTATGTAGTGAACCCAAAATATGGACATCCGATAAGAGAAGTCGTTGGGGTGTGGACTTAATCATCTACTCAAGAGAAGGAACTGACCAGCCTCTAATCCTGGACTCAAAAATAGACCAAGAGAGCATAATAAATGAAAAAAGAAAAAAACTTCACATATGAAATTATATATATATAGCTTATAAATATTTTATTTATATATATATATATAATTATTGAGCCTTTAATATGACATGAGCTTTGAGCTGAACTATTTGGGGTATTTGAGTGGCTTGAGCAGTAGGAACCTCTCGAGAATATGGCATAGAGTCTGATTAGGGGGCGATCATAATTTTTCTAAGGGTTGAGTAAATGAGCACACATTTTATTATGATGATAGCAAAGAGGAAAAGACCAAGTAGAAATATGGAGAATTCCTGATGATTGGTTTATCACTAGGCCCCCCATGTGTTTCGAGTTAGCTAGAATTAATCCGTCATTGCTCAGTAGCAAGTATCAACAGGAGAAGAGCTCAGTAGCATTGTACTTGAATTATAGAGCATGTTAAAGGTGTGATTTGTGATTTTATGACAATTTTATGTCCAAGAATTTGTTAGAGTGGTCACTGTATTGGTGGTGGTAACCCACATACAAGAAGCCTTAATGCTACAAATGCCACTTTGACTAATATGTAATTAGTGAAAAAGTTATTGTAAAAACCACTGTTGCCAGAGCACTCTGGCCTTGATTTGACAGACCTAATGTTTGTTGTACTTTCCACATCCATAGGCTAGTGCCAATCGTTTTTGTTCCTGCAAGTCCCAACATACTCATAGGTCTTGATGTTGTAGGTAAGAATGTGAAATATCAGTGATGCTTGCTGAGGTCAAGAAGAATGATTGACATTTATATAAATGGGAAGGCCAGGAAAGATCAGAATGCATCCACGTGGCTTCTGATTTGGGGGTCATGGAAGGACAGAGTAGAGGGGATGTGTGCCCCTGTATGTTGGGTCACAATAGAGTCTTGTGGACTTGTCCTTAGGTTGGAAAACTATGCCTGATTTTAAGTAAATGGCTAAAGAGTGGGAGTGGAGGAAAATAGTGGCTCTTGTTGGGCATATGTTAATGGTACTGAGCTGTCCACTAGGTAGCTTGCTTGTGTATATTGAGAAACCATGGGAGCCATTCCACTGCCATTAGGGGGCGCCCCATATACAGAGAGACGGCCCTTCTGAAGGGGGTTTAATTTCTGTTTTCCATCTCTAAGGCAGGCAGATAGACAGATGTATGATGTGTGACACCTGGAAGTAGACAGATGGAGAGATGGTAATTTCATGGTTGTAGTCAATGCACAATAGGCAACATCAATTAAATATATATATTTATATATACATTTATATATAAATATATATATTTAATTGATGATATATATTCAATATATATGATATTCATGTAATGATCCGAGAGGCTAGGGCAGTGGGCTTGCATTTTACTTGCTGTGTAGTCTCTTACAGTACAAGAGTGGTAGACTTGTTTAAGATAGGAGAGATGGAGAGGGAAGTGGGGGATCTCAAAATGGGGAAGGGTGAGGGGAAGAGAATGGAGGGATTGAATGATTTGTGCATTGGGAGCTCAACAGAATTCCCATACACAGTGTGAGAGCACACAGTGTGGAGACTTAGGTATTATTACCCTTTGGGCAGGAGAGGTGAATGATATTAGCAGGAACCTGAATCTTGGAAAGATTATGGAGATATTGGAGTTTGTCCCCCTGAGGCTTAAACTTAACATGAGATAGAATTGAATTACAGTCATCAAGACAGAATTTAGAGTTTTATAATAGGAGTGGTGAGCAAAGGAAAGTCTCATAAGTCACTCCCATCTGGTAGATCCCTTCTTTCAATATGAGACTCAGTGATTTCATTAGTTATTGCAAGACCAAGAGCCTGTGGTTCCTGTCGTGGTGAGGTTTTCTAAGTTCTGGTGCACTCCACTTCTGTACTGCGAATCTCATGTACTACACTCCTGGCTGCTGGCTGGGAGAAAAGGACAAGTCAGTCTTTAATGATGAGGCTGAGGTGATGTTAGTGGGCTATCAATCCACATGGAACTCATGTGTGGTTCATATTTTTGTTTAATTTCTATTTTCCATCTCTAAGGCAGGCAGATAGACAGATGTATGGTGTGTTGATCTATAGTGCTATAATAAAATTGAGCCATTTGTAGAATTTGAATGCCACATTGGGTCCTGGGAGCTTGATTTGCAAATGTCTTTAAGTCAAGAACTTTGTGAGTATGTAGGTGACAAGATGAAATTGATCTATGATACTGTTCTAGTTGAACAAAAGTGTGGAATCTGATTGGCAGGACTGAATCTCAGTCAAGGGTAGCTGGATCTAAAAGCTGTCAACAGTGCAAAATTCTTCCTTGGTGGGTACTGAGAGAGGTTCTGTTGTGTAAAGGTTAAAAATTGTAAAAAAAATATTGCCTGATTTGAGTGCACATGGTTAATAGGATGTTAGGTTGCTTACCAAATAAAATATCTGCGGCTGAGATTGGAGTTCCATTATTAGTCTGTAGGCAGGCCCTGTAATTTAACCAATCATTGCAGGTCCTTTGTCTTGGTTGTTGGTTGGTCCTGGGCAAGACAATGTTTTGCAGGGAGCATCAGGGCCTGCATTAGCAAAACTCAGTGGCATTTAGATCCTATCATTAGCCATACTTGGTAAAAACGAAGCTTATTTGAAGAGTTAGAGATTCTGGATTGTAAAACAATGAAAACAGCCTTACTAATAATAAGACTAAAATCCACCACAATGATATGTAGTTGTATCTTAGTCTTTTGGTCATTCTTCTTTCCTGCTGGTGTGAATTACAACTAAGTAAGTACTGTTTGCTTTTAATCATAGTGGGATAATATATTGGTTCCATTGTTCTTTTTAATGGAATTTTCATTTATCAAGTGGAAGTGTTTATCTCCCTTCTTGATAGCTCACAATATATGGAACAACCCTTGAACAATGATTTCAATTTCACAAGAAGGAGTTACAGAAAGAAGTCATATTAATCATCCATTCCCTGTAGCCTGAATAGTATGGAAGATTTCTAGGTGGTAAAAATTTAGGTTCAAATGTGTCCCCTGAAAGTGGGTGCATCTGACTGAGCCTGTTGGGAAACCTGTTATTAGTGAGTCCATTTGATCATCATGGAAAGCTTTAGATAGGTTGGTTTTGATATAAACAAAATTGTGGATGACCCAAATTTTATGGTAAACACTCAGCAACTGTTGCCAGTGGAAGCTTAAGGACAGTTCTTTTTCCACTAGATGGAAAAAATGCAAGACCTTTGACTATTGCCCTGGAATTTAACTGAAGTTGACAGCTTTTGGATTTTTTGTGGTGTCATTGCACAATCTCTGGTTAGGAGTTGGGTCACAGTGTTATCTCTGTCTACCTGGATGGCTTCCAGTGATTCAGATTTCATGAAAATACCATTCATATAATGCAACAGGTTTTGATGACTACAATTATGGGCCATGACATAGTGTTTAAATATCCCATAGACTAATGGGTTAGAGGTATATTTTGTACTTTGAGGAAGACAACCAGAACCTGGGAAGCCCCATGAATGGTAACAGAATAAAGCATACTAGCTAGGTCAATGACAGCAAGTTATTCGGTCCTCAGTCACTTAATAACATTGAGTGTAGGTGCCTTGATGGGAAGAACTTCAGCATTTTGACCACAATAATCAGTAAAGAACCTCGATTTTTATGCACTTTAGGGACAGAGTAACTTCACCATTAAAAGGAGAAATTTTTAGGCTTATGATCACTTTTTAAAAGAAATGTTTCATGACAAGCAATAGTCTTTCTATTCCTTGTTTTAACTCACATGGTGGGGCATTAACTATTTTAACCAGTGTAGGTAAATAAATGGGGTTTAATTTAGAATGGTCCACTAATAACACTTACACATCTTCATTTATTCCAGTCCATGGTTTTTCCTGTGATGGTGTCCATTTTTTTATGGAGAATGTGAATTTTAGAATAGCAATAACCACAGAAGTTTTCCCATGGAACTGTTCTAAATGTAACATCAAATTTAATTAACTTGCCTGAGACTTGAGAACCAGTGACCCCTTTTAAAGTTGAAAGGAGGACTTTTATGCTATGAGGAAGATTCAGGCAGTTGTGCTACTACTTGGTTTTATGATTCTAGGAGAGTCAGGAAATTATCAGAATTGTTCGGGCTCCAAAGGACCACCACAATAATGTAAGGCTGATTTTTGTCCAGTATTAGCAAAGGGTCGGGGAAAATGCCAAATTCCTATGGTTGGTGGTTGACCTCAGTGAAAATCAGGGCAAGAGACTTGAACCAGAAATAAGAGGGCTGGTATTTTAGGAGGAGCTTGGCTCTGTGGTTGAGAACACTTCTGAGGAATTCAGAGTATCTTGCAGTTGTTGGAGGCAGTGATCTGAAACTGGTCATTATTTGTTCCTAGATGACTTAGTTGCCAATACAAGGCCCCCTGGCAATTTGAGAAGCAGAGAAGTAGATGGAAGTTGAGAAACATGGAATTTATTGGGAAGGCCTCATTGAACTCAGTTATAATTGCTTTTATTTGTGGTTAAATGGGCACTTGTGTGGCTGGGCAGCATCTTCATGATGGACTAACAGCTCTGTATTACCTAGTGTGTAATTCTACTAGTAGGACAAAAGGGAGTAGGGTTGCCTGATAATGAGCCAGGAGAAACATACAAAAGGAAGTCTTTTGCTTTAGTGTCTTTTACCTTCTTTATTCCCATTTATCCCACTTAACTTATTGAATATCAAACATGTGCCAGTCATTGTACCAAGGGCTATTGACAAAAA